GTGACAATACCAGATTTTATTGTAAACATGCTACATTTTACTGGGTACTAGCTGGTGACAATATCAGATTTTATTGTAAACATGCTACATTTTACTGGGTACTAGCTGGTGACAATACCAGATTTTATTGTAAACATGCTACATTTTACTGGGTACTAACTGGTGACAATACCAGATTTTATTGTAAACATGCTACATACTATATGTTACAGAAACTTTCTATTTTCAACAAATTTAACACATTCAAAAATTATTGTACTTTATAAAATCTATAAAGGGATTCACTTAAAAAATTATTATTAATCAAGGAGTTTGAAAGAGAAAAGGTTGGTTTAGTGGTTAGTCAATTATAAAACACACACAGACTTTTGTCAAGTAATGGTCCATTCTAGTTGTTGTACTTTAATTAACTTAAGATATAAATATACTCACACAATGACTACTTACACAGTCTACAACTATAAGTTCAGGGGGATATAGTATATTATACACTACTTTGGTGACTAAACTCGGTATTATTGCTGTCCACATAGTACATTATACACTACTTTGGTGACTAAACTCAGTATTATCACTGTCCACATAGTACATTATACACTACTTTGGTGACTAAACTCAGTTATTTGATTACTGCTAGTCTTATGTTTGTAGCTAATCTGTTTATTGGGTTTTAAGAATCAAGTATGAGGTGACTAAACTCAGTATTATCACTGTCCATATAGTACATTATACACTACTTTAGGTGACTAAACTCAGTATTATCACTGTCCAAAGTAGTGTATAATATACTATGTGAACAGTGATAATTTTGGAAGTACTTGCAGAATAAACTATTATCAAGTTTTTCAAATAATCAATAATAGTTATTAATAAATTTACAGCAAAGGATCAAAAACACAACTTTTATTCATTTAACAGCAGGTACAAATTCCTGCTGATGTAGGTTTATTACAAGATTCTGTAAATGCAAATTTACCTAAGTAGCAATAAAACCCAAATATGATGCAAATGAAGATGCAACTGGAAAATGAATTAATATAAACATTTTTTTATGCTATTGTAGTCATGATATTGTTTAGTACACAATAGCAGATAGATACACACTAACCTATAATTTATAACACTAAACAAATCTTAAAAAATGTGAAAGAGATACAAATGTTAATAACAACAAACCTTTTTTACTTTAGTCTTTTGAACTCTCTCGTCCTTTTCTGCTTTTCTAGAAAGCCTTTCAAGTTGTTTTGCACTGAACTTTACAAGGAAATATAAAACAGTGAATAAAGATCAGATAAAAAAAAAGCAGTAGGAATTACGACACACTTAATTAGTTGTGAAGACTTACATAACACTGACAAACTTGCACACCAGTATAAAAATAACAAACAAATGTATCACTATCCAGATTCTACAAACAATAATACAACACATTATTACTTAACTTTGAATAAATAATCTCTCTTAACCCTTTTGAGACTGGTCACAGTTGAAAGGCCATGCCATCTCGTTTGTTGACTCGCATTCAAAATTTTATTGGACTACTATTTTATGAATTTATGTCAATAAGTTTGGTATCAAGCTGTAGATTATAATTCAAATTTTAGTACTACACATTACTCAATTTCTTAATTTAAAAGCAATTATTAAAAAACAGATAAACATCGATTTTTGTGTGCCATGTGGTATGTTGAATACAGCACTGGTTCAAATTAGATGTTTGTGAAGTCTATAGTTTTGTATGAATTAGAAACTCAATTTACCAATATTGCCAAGTTAGAATATAAAATATGAACCTTGTATCTTTTTCTATTTGCTAAGATATCACTCCTGTAGTGAATCAAACACAGTTGCCTCCCCACCCATCTTTTTTTTTTTAAATTGTCCCTTATATACATTTACTTCTGTATATGACATGAATAACCTATCAGAAGCTCAGAATATCCACCTAGTGGCTTTCTCAGCCATTTCAAATTCTTAGGATGCCATTCCTTTCTTTTGAATCAAGATTTCAAAGAGGTAGGGTGTGTCTTTAGTCTGCTTGAAATTTCATTTTTTTTACACTAAAATACATCTTAGTTACTAGGCTTTATAAATTATAGTAGAATTCTATGGTATTGATGTAGTAATTTAGGATTTTGTGGTTATTCAAATGTATATATAAAATGTAAAAAAAATTATTTTGTTTCGCATCCTCCATGTACAAAATTTTAAAAGGCTTAGCAACCTACGTCAAGCAGCAACCGAGTACAAAGGTCATAACTAGAAGAGATAATTGTTTGCTTTACTTCTTTATTTACTGTTCCGAGTTTTAAGAAAAATAAGTTTAAAAACTTACTTGAAAATAGCAATAATCTATATACATATATAATGTATATTAATTGAAATGTGAATGCCAGTTTTATGTTATTTGATACAGTAACATGAGTGCACGTGAGCCGCATCATTGTAACTTCTGTATTGTTAGCCAGGCACAGCCGAAAGGTCAATATAATAAAAATAATAAATATATATAAATGTATAATGTTATGAGATTTAAGCTATTTAGTTTTAATCTAAACATTTATATTATAATTTGTATTCCATCTAGAATGAAAGAGGCAAAATTTATATTTCTTTTCTAATTTTTTTTTGGTGGTTGCGAGATCGGTCAAATCTACCGAACCCGTACAGAGATTAATTACTGAAAATAATAAATGAAATATAGTTTTTCTTATGAAACAGGTGATAACTATCTGGACATTATAAAGATTCTGCATGTGAAATTTGAAAACTTTCTGCTGCATAAAAGTATTTTTAATCTTAAAATGAAAATATGATAGATAGGCAACATGTGAAAAGAAAAAATAGGCATGAGAAAAACAATGCTTTACAAACCTTAAGACTTAATAAAAAAATTGGATATTTTGCATATGAAGGTATTGTAATGTTTACTGGTAATCTGCCAAATTTCATTAACATTTGCTTACTAATTTAAAAGCTATAGCATGAAAACTATAACAAGCTGAAACAGTTAAATGAAATATGTACACTAATTTGTTACACAAGTCCAAAAAATGTGTGTTGGAGTGAACGTGCGATATGTGTGAAAGTTCCTAAACAACATTCTTTGTGAAGAAGTATCTATCATAATGTAACAGAATACTTCCAGGGGCCTTGGACCTGGTGTTACATCCACCTGGGTGTTCTGAGTAAGAAACTGATGGGTTCCAAACTGGTAACTTTGGGAATCTTTTATAATCTGCATAATTCAAAATGGACACCAAATGTTCATTTAAATATAACTATTTATTTTTGAAGGATACTTTCCGTGACGATACAGTTTTAAAATGTACAACATCCAAAAGATTTTCCCTTGTACTCAATTTGAAAAGTTTAACTATAATCTCTCATACTTTAATTCATTACATTTAAAATTGACATTTGAATTTTTGTAAAGGACTGTGCTTGGGAATTCACCTTACTGCAATAATTTCTTTCACAAAAAACTGTAACAAGCTGGATAGCACATTAGCATGACATAAAGATGGCAAACACATTTTACCAATAAAATATATATATACGTTCAATCATCGATTCACTTTCATACCAGCATTCATCACCATAGTTTCAACCTGTATCTTCGTAAACACTTGGCTTTGCATAACGTGCTGTGTTCGTGATTAGAAAAGTTTCAATCAAAGGATAACCGATTCTTCTTCCTTAAGAAAACTAAGATTGTAAGAAATCACTATCAAAAGCTTTTTGAACTGTGGTTGAAAAGTGCTAAATAGCACTGGACCAGACAAACTTGTAACATAATCAGTGAACAGCAGGGGGATTACTTTCATCTCATTTTGACAAAAAAGCTTGTAGTTGACCCAAACTTGACATAAAAGCTAATAGTTGACCCAAACTTGACAGAAAACCTAGTAGTTGACCAAAACATAACAGAAAAGCAGGTAGCAGACCTAAACTTGACGGAACAGCTAGTATCTGGCTCAAAGAACCTTGACAGAAAAGCTAGTAGTTCACCCAAACTTGACAGAAAAGCTTGTAGTTGACCCGGACTTGACAGACAAGCTTGTAGTTGACCCAGACTTGACAGAAAAGCTAGTAGTTGACCCAAACTTGACAGAAAAGCTAGTAGCTGACCCAAACTTGACAAAAAAAGCTAGTAGCTGATCCAAACTCAACAGAAAAGCAGGTAGCAGACTCAAACTCAACAGAAAAGCCAGTAGCTCACTCAATCATGACAAAAAAGCTAGTAGATGACCCAAATTTGACAAGAAAGCTAGTAGCTAACTCAACCTTGACAGAAATGCTAGAAGTTCACCCAAACTTGACAGAAATGCTAGTAGTTCACCCAAACTTGACAGAAAAGTTAGTAGCTGGCCTAAACAAACATGACAGAAAAGCTAGTAGTTGACTCAAACTTGACAGAAAAGCTAGTAGTTCACTGAAACTTGACAAGAAAAGCTTGTAGCTCGAACCCAAACTTGACAGAAAAACTAGTAGCTGACCCAAACTTGACAGAAAAGCTAGTAGCTGACCCAAACTTGACAAAAAAGCTAGTA